TTCTTTCCAATTCATTTGCATGTAATATCCTATTATTTGTAGATGGCGGAGAATTATGACATTGTTGTTGTTGCTTCTGCAGTTGCTGTTGTTTTTGTTGTTGTTGATTATAATTATGATTAAGTGAAATAACACCAGTAGATGTAGTTACTGGTATAGCGGCAGAAGTGACAGGGTTAGTTAATAATGTATTAGGTTGTTGAAGGATTTGATGAAGTTGTGACATCGACATAACAACAGTATGTGGTGGTGAAGGAGTTGATAAATGTTGAGGAGCAACATTATTTAAAAGAGCTGGCAAATTATTGGTAGTAACTGCAGTAGTGGGTAAAGTTGTAGCTGTGGCAATAGATTGTGTCGTTGTAGGTGCTGATATTAATATATTAGTATTATTAGCATTAGTAGTAGTAGTAGTAGTAGGGATAGGAAGAAAAATAAGATTTGTACCAATATTATTACGAATAAAATTAGCAGTATTACTGGCAGATGCAACTGGGATAGAAAGTGGTGGTGGCGGTGGATAAGTTGTAGTTGGAACTATATTATTATTATTGGCAGCAGGAATAGTTGTTGCAGCATTAGTAGGATGAGGTTGAATAATAGGTGCTGTTTGAACAGATTGAATATTTGTTTGATTTGTTGTATTGTTGATACCAAGCACCTGTCTGATTTTTTGAATCTCTTCACTTGGAATTGGTTTTTGTTGAATCAATTCACAAAGCTATCACACAGATATATATAATTGTGATTTATTTACAGATCAGGTTATTATAGAAACCCCAATTGTTAAAAAAGAGAGAAAAAATATCATTAATAAAATAATTCAATTGATAATTTATTTATAATATACTACCAATAAGAATAATTTGGATCTGGTATTATTTCTAATTTAATCTGATAAAATTAACAAATCAAAATCAAACCTTTTGTAAGAATATAATTTGATTTTGATAATTTGTATCTGATGAATTTTTTAAAGAAGTTTGTTGACATAACAAAATCAATGCTTGACACTCTTGTAATAATTGTTGTTGTTCAGGTGGAGGAAT